ATTGTGGGATTAAGGTAAAGGAAAATGAGCTGAAAGCAAATTTAATACCTCTTGACATACGTGATTTCGATGTTATCTTGGGTATGGACTTTCTGGCAACAAATCGAGCTTCAGTTGATTGCTTTCGAAAGGAGGTTGTGTTCAGGTAGCCAGGACAACCTGAAGTTCTATTCAGTGGACAGCGCATAATTTTGCCGTCTTGTGTGATATCTGCTATTGACGCTAGAAGATTACTCAACAAGGGCTGCCATGCATATTTGGCTCATGTAATTGATACAAATATTAGTAAACTAAAACTTGAAGATATCCTAGTGGTCAAGGACTTTCCTGATGTATTTCCAGAAGAATTACTAGGCTTACCATCAGACAGAGATATGGAGTTCACTATAGATCTGATTCTAGGAACTGCACCTACTTCACGGGCACCCTAATGGCACCAGCAGAATTAAAAGAGCTAAAGGTTCAGCTACAAGAGTTGGTAGACAAGGGTTTCATTAGACCTAGTATATCTCCGTGGGGAGCACCAGTTTTGTTTGTGAAAAAGAAAGAAGGCACCATGCAACTGTGCATAGATTACAGACAATTGAACAAAGTGACAATTTGCAATAAATATCCTTTGCCAAGTATTGATGATCTGTTTAATCAGCTTCGAGGTGCTGCAATATTTTCAAAGATTGATTTACGTTCGGGATATCATCAACTTAAAATCAGGGACAATGATGTGCCAAAAACTGTTTTTAGGATAAGATATGGTTATTTTGAATTTCTTGTGATGCCATTTGGGTTGACCAACGCACCAACAACATTTATGGATATGATGAATAAAGTGTTTCGCCCGTATTTAGACAGATTTGTAATTATATTCATTGATGATATTTTAATATACTCTCGAGATTATGATGAGCATACAGAGCATCTTAGAATCATCTTGCAAACTCTACGTGATGAGCAGTTGTATGCTAAATTCAGTAAATGTGAATTCTGGCTTGATAAAGTTGTATTTTTGGGACATGTCATATCAGCAGAAGGAATTTATGTTGACCCGCAGAAAACAGAGATAGTGGTAAAATGGGAAAGATCACAAAATTAATTGGTCACGGATTATTTCTAGATTATAAATTAGAAATTTTATATGTTACAGTTTATTTCGAGGTTGTAAATAAAAAATTTACAGATCACAAATTATTTCGAGCTCAAATTAATTGGTCCCAGATAATTAAAGTTTGGTCACATAGCACCATCACCAACACTATCACACCGCCATTACCATACGATCACCCTCACTTCGGGATCATTGTCACCAACACAATAGCACCATTTCCAAACCATCACCAGCCCAAACAAATTTACCACAGCATCCCTAATCCACAGTAGGCATCACCATCACCGCCACCATCATTTTGAAACTATCAAAAAACCCACCTCTAAACTGCTGCTTGCTGTCTGTCTTGTCTGTCTTCCATTAGCCAGATCAAGTCACTGTGACATCATCTGCCACACTAACATTGAAATTGGGTCGAGCAACATTGCTGGGGTGGAGATTGTACCGAGTCAAGCGACGACGGATGGAGATCGCGGTTGTTCCGCCCTACTCATAATGGCGGTGATAGTCTATTGTGTGTGACGACGTTGCTGGGTCAACGAACCACCATTCGCCTATGCGCCACCACCATCAACAGCGAGCATTAGAGGAACAAGTCTTCAGGTGTCAAAGAGAGAAGGAAGAGAGGGGGCCAAAACCATTTGCAGGGTTGCCTTTCCCTGTCGACTTCGTCATTGGTTGCAGTGTTTGAAAGTGTCATCGACAGTGAAGACAAAAAGGGAGAGACAAGACAAAAAATATTATGGAATGGTTGAAATGATTAGGGTTTAAAATTGATTTGGGTGGATTCAGTTAGAGGTTGATTAATTATATAAATATCACCTGATTTTTGATAAATTAAACTTTGCACCAAGCGTGGATCCAGTACCTGGCGAGCACCCTCGGCCGTGCGTGCTGGATCTGCCATGAGAAATTTTTTTTGTTGGCAATATATTAAAGTTTTACGATATATTACTAATAAGTCATTTTGTTCTCAATCCTCCTTGTAGCTCAGCTGGTTAGAGGTTGCATATTCATATTTGACGTTTAAGGTTCGAATCTCCTACTAAAGAATTTTTGTGTATTATTCTTATTCTATAAGTTTTACCAAAATTTTTATAATGATGGAGACAAAGGGATTCGAACATTTACACTCTTGCAAAGGTAGTTACCTACTTTACAATTGTGGTATTTCTTAGTTTGTGTCACTTATTTTACCAAAAGATATTTATTAGGTTTTAACTGGTTTAAGCCAAGTACAATTGTAATTACTAGAATCCGTGCTCTTCCTTTCAATTATACAAAACTTGGCAACAATGTCATTTGATGAATCATGTTTATTCTTATAATAAAATTATATATGTTCAATTTGAACAAAATAATTGTTATATTTGAACTTTAGGCTTTATTCGATTTCCATTTTTTTCAAAATACATTTTTCTCTTTTCTTTTCATTCACACATTTTTCAATAAAATAATATTATATGCAAAGTTTTCTTTATTTTTAGCAACATTTTCTTCTTCAAATCACTGTTCAAAAATGCATTTTTTACAAAAAAAAAAAAAAAATGTATCAAACGAACTCTTAATATTTTATTGCGATCGACGGTAGATGGTCAACGGCAGCCCGTGCTGACTCAAACTCTTGAATTCCCCCCTGCTTTGCACCTGAATTTTTAAAAGTGATCTTTAAACACTTGCTATTGTGTAATTTCCACAAATTTTATTCCTCGATTTCACCATGAATTTTAACTAAAATTTCCATTTTTCATATACCAATTTGCTTATGGGCTGGAGCAAGGCAGGACAGGGCTATAGCCAAGCCTAGCCCGTCTCCATTGGCCCCTATTTAGATAAGAAACATGCATTTATGGTTATGAACAAGGGCAGATGTAAAGGGGGACTAAGCTGGGCTATAGTCTCTCCAAAGCCCAAGAATTTATTTTTTTAAGGTATTTTTATTTTTGTAAAAATAGATTTTTATGTGTAAATTTTTTTTTTCGTATATTAGTTCAACTTGAAATTTTATAGTCGATCTTGAATTCAATTTTGTATTCTTCCCTGATTATGAATTTTTTGAAACATTCCTATAAGGCATCAAAGTTTGTTTAAGCGTTTATTAACTAACAATTTTGTTTGGTACTTTTATTATTAGTAGACATCGCTAACCAATTTTCGAGTTACAAGTACATGAATTTTTTACAGAAATTGTTTACATGATGGAAAAGAACAAAAACATCTCACTAATTTTCCCTATGACAGCTGTAAAGCCTGTAATGGATCCTCACGTCAAATTATTTGGAGTCAACGTGCAGTGGAGAAACTTTTAATAAAGTTTAAATGTTAATATAGATATTACAAATCAATAATTGGAATGTTTTATTAATGAATTGCACAATTCTTATTTAAGTAAATATTAAATAATGAAAGTTTTTGTTACTCTCCGAGCTTTGTTGCAACTTCTAAAGGTAAAGCTTATTTGTATTTTGAGATAGCTAAGAAACGTCAAGGGGTGTAAAATTCTAACACTGACGCGAACATTGCAACTGTAACGATGTTATCAAATTTATCAATGTTGTTTAACTCCTAAGATTGAACTATTAAATTAGATATATTAAGATCATGGAAAATAAATAAAAGATACACATACAACGTGGTTGGATGAAGTTTTGAGCAACTATTCCGAGTTTCCGACAACTAGGAGAAAGATAAAGCGACAACTAGGAGAAAGATAAAGCATGAACAAAGAAGAATAATTGAGAACACATATACTACTATTCGTGTTTAATTTTTTTAATTTAATTTTTTAATTATTATTGAGAAAATATAAAATTACAATTTTATCATTTTAAATTTGGTCAAAATGTGGTAAATTTTTTTTTGTTGACTAACGGTCAAATGGATTTTGTCCATTTGTCCTCTAGATGCAACCAACACGAAATGTTTGAAACTGTGGGTGCAAAAATAAAAGGTTTGGGTATACTCTGGAGCTATTTGAAAGGTAGGACCCTAAGTGCAATTTTTCCATAAAAAATATATCAAAGATTGTGACAATTTTAGATTGTGTTACTTTTTAATTGAAATAACAAAGATTATATGACTTTTCAACTATTTTCTTTAAAATAGTAAAATTATATTAGTTCTTATCATCAATTATAACATAATTTTATGTATTGAATAGTGTGAAAACGATGGTACTAACACATTGCCTTTGTTTGATGTTCATTACCTGAAAATGAAAATGGGGAAAATAGTATTTTTTAGAAAAATGAGTGGTTGAAAAAGAAAGAAAAATTTTCGATTTACGTGTAATATTATTTTATGAAAAATTGTGTGGTTAAAAATAAGAGAGAAAAAAATAAAATATAATATAATTTAATTTAATGGGGATCAAACATAACATAATATGACGCTAAACATCCGTGAATCTGAGTAAGATTGTTCTTGCCTACAAAAAGTCAAAAGTAAGTAAAATATGTAAATTCTCCTATTGACAAAAGTAGCCAGCGGACCCGCCTGTAAAGAGCGTCCGGTTGGGCCACCTTTTCATTGTAAAGCATTTTTCAACCTCAAAATGGGGAGAGTACCAGAAGAATTGATGATAACATTACGTTTGTTTGACATTCTTCCTAAGAAATCTTATAATACTCCATATTTGAACACTTAAGTTACAGCCTCGAGCATATTGTTTAACGTATTCACCGTCTTGACTTATTCTAGAAAAGTAAGTTTTAAACATAATAGAACAAGCAGGGATGACACAGATGGATATATAGTTAAAGGAGAAATAAGCAAATACAGAAAGTGAATGTTTTTTTTTTTTTTTTTTTTTTAAAAAAAAAAAAAAAAAAAAAAAAAAAAAAAAAAAAAAAAAAAAAAAAAAAAAAAAAAAAAAAAAATTTTTTTTTTTTTTTTTTTTTTATAAACAAGAACAAGACATAGTTCTGTATCAAGGTTTTGAAATGCTATCTTCTTCCTTGTGAGTAGCAGATTGGTGCCTGAAAATCCACTTCCAAACCTTGTGCCCTTTGCTCCCTTTTTTCAATCCTCTCTCATTCACTGTTATTCTACAAGATCCCCCATTACTTCTCATATTTGCAAGAGAAATTCCAGATTGATCAGACTTCTTAAAATCTGATTTTGGGTCTGCTGATAAATCAAGATTCAGATCAATGAAAGCTGATTCATCCATGGCACTGAAATCACTTTCTTTAACTGGATAAACACCCCTTTTTGCAGTGCCAATTTCAGCATCAAACCCACCTCTGAATCCACTCTTTCTTGGCTCAAACCCACTTTTTCTTGGCTCAGATTCTGAATCCATGAAAACCCCACTTGTAACATCAGAAATTTTAGCGCTTGAAAATGCATAATCACTGGCTTCATCCCTGAAACTGCAGAGTGACCTAGACCTTGAAACGCCCATAATATCAGAAACCCATGTCTCACTTTTATCATCAAATGACTCAAATTCGCCATTTTTCTCAAAATCCCTTTTGCTTTTTTTCTTCCTAAATAACCTTTTGATCTTCCAAAACCCATTACTTTTCTTCACTTCAACGCAACTGCTACTGCTCCTTCTCAGTAGAATCACTTCTTCTGATTTCTCTTCCTCTCCTTTTCGTTTAGCCTTTAAATTCTTCAACTCACCAGTCTTTTCATTCTCTATCAGAAATGAGATTCTGCCAACACTTCCAACCTCCATGGCGCTGCATGAGTTTCTGTATGAAATAATATCTGAACAAGAACAAGAAGACAGACGCTGTTCTCCACACTCTGTACACACCAATTTAACAAGCTTTTCTTTAAGACAGTAAGCACAAATCCCAACAGAAGATGAAGATGGGTGTTTCCTGCAGGGCATTTCTGATGCAGAATAGTTGAAATCTAAATCGTTGTTGTAGATTTCAACAGCTTTGCCTCTTTCTTTCATGGCTCCTGGTTTTTTGGGTTGAAAAGAAACAGAGAGAAAGATCAATTTTGCAAAGAATTGGTGAAAATTTTTGGGATATAAAAATGGGTCTCACTGAATCAAGAGGCTATAGGAGCTATCTATGGGTGTGTAGATTGTAGGTGAAGGTCAGAAATAGGCTTTGATAGATTATTTGCAAGAGGAGAGATATGAATACATCATTGCATGTTTTGTCCTGGTCTTAAATATTACCTGCAGTTTTATACACAAAAAAAAAAAATAATAATAATAATAATAATAAATTAATAAATAAAATAATAAAAAATAAATAAATTTTATATTTTAAAAAAATTAGGATGGAATTTGTTTGACAACTATTAACATGGAGATTTTTTTATTTTTTTATTTTTTGTGAAAATGAATTTTGTAATAATTATTTTTTTAGAGAATTAGTGATTAAAAAGTAAAAAATAAAAAATAAATTAAATTTATATGAAAAATATTTTATTGTGAAAATGTGTGATTGAAAGTGAATTTAAAAAATAAAGAATTTTATTTTAATGGTTGTCAAATAGAGTGCGTGTGATGTGGTTCTGAGTTATCTTTTGCAACAAGGTTTCGAGTCTTTAACTTATTTAAGCCTTTGTTTGAGCTTCATTTTTTTGGAAAAAAATGAATTCTTGAATAATGTTTTAACTTCATTTTAACGAAACATCTTCAAAAAATAAATATTACATATAAACTTTAAAAAAATTCTTATTTTTTAACCATACATTTTTCATCAAAACACCATTCAAAATTTTATTTTTATTTTTGATAAAAATGGAACTCAAACAAGGACTAAATATGTTAATTCAAGTACACATTTTATGTAAATCATTATTGTGGATAAGATTAAATTGGAAAAAAGTATTATATGTTTTGATTGGTTAGTCAACTATCTTGACAGATTTTAAATAAATTATGAATTAGGAACCTTATTTTTGAAAGTTGAGATCCATAATCACGTCACGTTAAAGATTGATAGTCTAACCTTGGTCTTTATTAACTCAAAAAAGACAAATCCGTGAACATTCTTACTGAATTAAGCTCAGGTTTAGCCCTCATTTTTTGAAATAAAAATGGATGAAATAATATTTTTTTGAAAAATGAGTGGTTGAAAAAAAAAAATTTCGATTTACATGTAATATTATTTTATGAAAAATTGTGTGGTTGACAATAGAAAAAAGAAAAATAAAATGAAATTTAATGGGCCAAACAGGGGCTAAATAGAGGGTAAAAATAAATAAAAAGATACACAAGATAGTTCATATATAAAATTAAAAATTGAACAATTATATCTAATAATAATAATAGAATATATATGTCAACATATGGATGGTTTGACTTGTGTCTTTTCAGCATTATAGTATTTTGTTTTTGAAATGTAATTGGACATTGTCAAATCGATTGACAAATTTTCTAAATGATGACTAATAAGTCCAGCTGATCCAATTTTTAAACTACTAATTCAATCTTATTTACTAATATCAGCATAACAATAATTATTGGTATTTGAAGTTTCTATTTTACAATGTCAAATTTAATTGGCGAGTTGTCCAAACGTATATGTCAACTGTTACTTTCGTATGTATGGCTTCTACTCTTAATATGGTAACAAGATAATGTCTTATTTGAGAACACATTTTCAAATTCGCATGTTTGCTCATAATTTTGAATAGATCAATTGCTCATTTAAACTTTTTAAATTTTAATAACATATCAAATTTAGTTGTTCTATTATATGATATTCATTATTTACACTCTCAACCTCATAAACTTCTGTCAAAGAAACCAAGTAAAAGCCCTAGGAAAACCATTTTTTTTTTAACGGTGTCAACGGGTCGGGCCGAGCAGGCACGATCGTATTAACCACGAGCTCGGCTTTTTTGCGACCTTGGCCCTTGAGCTTGCAAGCTCACAAGCCGAGCTCAAAAGCTCGAGATTATTTATTTATTTAAGTTACCAAACGATATTTGGTCACTTTTTTAACGGGCTCACGAGTTCGCTTGTGAACTATAGGACAGTGGATCGTGCCCACAAGTAGCAATCGGCTTGCCGTACGAGCCTCCACTCAACTCATGCTTGGGCTTGTCCCGACACACGACTCTCATGGGTTGAGTTTTGACGAGCCGACAAACTACTCGATCCTTTTGACACCTCTAACTATTTTTGAGGATTTATCCAAATAGATCTGCAGCTTATTTCATCGAATCGTTCAACTTACTACAAATATAAAATTTTATCAAGAAGAACTTCTCAAACCAAATTATTATTTTTCTCTTTAAATAACGTACATCTTTTTCTTCAACAGCAATACCATTGAGTTCCAATCATCAAGGTAGCACAGCATGCAGCCTAAGACTTTTTAGAGCCAAAAAGAGTCGTAAACTTTACGTTTTCTTTTACAAGAAACAGTGTAATTACAAGCAAGTGTGAAGGAAAATGCACAAAGATATCATTGTGTGGGAAAAAGATATTAGCAGCAATCACAGTTGAGTAAAGGCAAGAATTTGAATAGACATCTCTATAAATTTCTTCTTCTCTTGGCTTCATATATCAATCAATCTATCGTGCGTCATGCCTAACTTTTCAAGATTTTGTTTGCTTCTTTCTTAAATTTATTCTATGGTTCTACTGCATTTTACATCAATCTCTTCACTACTTTTTCTTAATTCGAATGTTATGTATTTGTTTTACTTTGAAATTCATTATTGAAATTTGGGAATTCGAACTAATATACCTTGAAACATTTTTGAATTAAATAGAATCTTATTGAAAAAGTATTATAAATAAGTAGTTCAATATTGTATCGCAACAATTAAGGATTTTGAATTCACATTTTGTCACCTTCTATTTGTAAAAAACTATACACGTAAATTCTTTTTACGAAAAAAAATGAAATTTACTTTTATAAAAATGTGTGAATAAAAGTTCCATACAGTTAAACACGACAATAACCTTGGATTTTATTCAATCTTAAGACTCAATAAGTGGTATTAGAAGTGTCAAAGTGGGAAAACCAAACCTAGAAAAAGTCGCTATGCATGCATCACTATAACCAAAGCCATGCTCCATATTTAGTCATCTAGATGCACAAAATAAAATTTTTGATGGTGCGTGTGCTTGATTTTTCTAGTTGAAAGAAGCTGCCATCGCTTGAGAAGGATCGTTACTACCGTGTGAGAGTCATCGTGATATATTACTTCTAGATGAAAGCATTGATCGCCCTATGAGCTTTACTTGCTAAGCTCAACTTACTCTACGGGATCGTGGTGGTATAAGTTGTGTAGGTGGGTGATCCAGGCTAATGTCACCCCTACAATCAGTTATGTGTAGATCCGCTCCATGAGTTTAGTATCCGATTAATTACAAATCTTTCATTCTAAATGTTCAATGAAAAATAAATTTGACAAGCATAAAATAAAAATAAATAAATAAACATATGAATACATATAATTAGCCATTGTTTGATCCCGATTATTTCTAAAATACATTTTTTTGCTCTTCTTTTCAATTATATATTTTTCAATGAAATAATATTACATATAAATTCAAATTTTTTTTTAAATTTTTTTAACCACACATTGTTCGTCAATTTACTAATTTAAAATGGATTCTTAGTAAAAAATAAAATAAAATGGAGCTAAAACAGACGGCTTAGTGTTGAAAAGCAAGTTAATACAATGAGACAATCACAAACTTCTCCAACGATCTTGTCTTGTAATAAACGTGTAATGAAAGAAACTTCTAGACCTATTTTCATTTTAGCACGTCTACAATGCTGTATTTTATTTTTCTTTAAAGATGTTGGAGCACGTGTAATTCTGACAAATTCTTCTTTGGTAGACCAATCGTGTAACCCTCTAACGTGCTGTCCTCCATTTCCAAGACCTAAAAATGCAGTTTACTGGCCGAGGATATTTAGCATGACAAGCCTCCATCACTTAAATGAGTTGTGCAATCAAAGGAAATCAAACTCCTAGAAGTCATTGACTTTTTCTATTTTATTTTATTTTATTTTTATATTTATTTTGTATGATCTTATTATTATTGTAAATTCTATACGTACGTCGTATGAAACTAATGCAACGTGACAAGTGACAATTCAAGTAAATCTCTATGGCTTTAGATTGGAATTTAATTCGAGAATAACTAAACCTATACCAAGCAAGAAGCTTGGCTAGAGAATATTGAACTCGTATTGAGAAGAGACAAAGGCGAGATAGACCGAGAAGGCCAAGCCAATGGAAAGAGATTAAAGGAAGAGGTCAAGTTTTTGAATAGCAGACCAGTATTAAATAACGACAAACATGTGTTGAAGGCAATAAGCTCGACAAAGAAAGTGTTTGGTCACGTATAAATAGTATTGTAACTTCTTGAGACACACAAACACAATATAACCTAATGAGTCTTTAAAGTAAATAGAGATAGAAAATTATATATGATTTATTTATTAGAGTTGTTATAACCTAAAAAATTAGTGACAAAAGTGAAGGCAAAATGAAACTTAGTCGCTATTTGAGACATATTTTTCTAAAAACTTATTTTTAACCAACATTTTTTAAATAAAATAATTTTGCATGTAAATATTATTATTATTATTTTTAATTCCACATTCTCCAAAAAAATCACTATTATAAAATCTATTTTTCACAAAAAAATAAGAAAAAAAGAAAAAGGGAGCTCAAACATAACCTAAGTTGTGTTCAGGGTGATTAGGATATGCCGGAATAAAGACACGAGCACGGTTGGCAAGAGAAGGCTTAGCCCATGTCCCTCGATGAAAGCCAAACCTATACCTATGACATATATTGTACTTAGATCGCTTTTTAATTTTTATCTAAACATTTCGATGTATCTAAAAGTACTGCCCACTTATTCACAACTCATTTCGATCTATTTATAATTTAAAATGTGTATAAACACTTCCCTAACATGCATAATGTTATTGAGCAAGATGAATTACATAACATGTGCATGGAAGAACAAAACTGATGTGTAGACTCGCAATTTTCAGGAGATATGTAACAATGAACTCTCGAAGTCTTGGAGCTTATTTGGTAACACAAGTTTAGCATAGTGAGATGATGTGGACCACGACCTAGTATAATTTTCTTCATTGTTTGACATGTATCGAGTGGGATGATCATATGTAGGCCCATCAAATCGTACTTTG